CGACAAATGCATTCACATCCAAGAAAAGGATTTAAATAACAACAAAAAGATAATGTTTTATTTATTTTATTCGACTAAGAGAAAATAGATAACATGAAGGTAAAAATTCTAAAGAATTTGATATTAAAAAGGCCGTATAATTTGTTGCAGAAGCTCGGGACAACGTTACTCCAATTACCATTAATAATTGCTGGAAGAGAACTGTATTCTTCTTTTGCCGGACAATGTAGAGGTTGTGAATATAGCTAATCTAATTTAATAATAGAAAGTGATATTAAAAATTTAATAAATATCATTTCGCCATTAGCTGCGCAGGAATACATCAATTGATGATAGAGTAATCAATAATGAAATGGTAATTAAGGAAGAGATTAAGAAGAGAAGGAAAGTAGTGCGAATATTCCTATATAATATTACAATAAAGGAATACAGTCAATGCTTATAATTTTCTTGAACAAATAATTTAAAAATGAATCGAAAGCTTTTAAATCATTAAAAAAAAGTGATATTAATTATTTCGAATAAATAATTTAACTTGTTGTTTTTTATTAATAAAAATAGTGACAAAGTCACTAGAAATCCATTTTACTCGTATAACAGTATCAAAATATTAATCAATTGCTTATTGGAAGAAGATAAAGATTATCTAACAGGAATTAAATTTACTTTTAAACTATTGGAGAAACCACCATTATACAACTATGCCAGATTTTGCACTATAATTTCCATCAGTCATGGTCTTAGAAATTTGATAAAAATTCCTTTACAAAATAAATTAATAAACTTTATTTTAGATCATTCAGTAGGTATTAGAAGGCTTAATACTAGTTATTTAGATTGTAATTTTTTAATTAATCATCATAGATTTGATGTTTGATTTCAGAGACTTATAGAATAGATTGGGGTGGTTCTTATAATGGAGAATTTGTTAATAAGTTAGCAAATATTTGTAAAGATATTCAATCATCAAGAATATGTTATGCTGCTAAAGATGATAATGATTTATATGAATTAGCACAGCTAATTAAAACACAGAATCAAATTAAATATTTAGATATTGGATCAGAAAGAAACACAATTTTACTAGGTGAATTAAAAAAAGCAATATTAACACACTCACAATCAATAATTTTTTATGGATCTTTAAACCCAATTTCGCATCGTTATAAAGCGAAAATCGGTTATAGTAGTTCGGTTTATCGAGGTTTGACTGTATATCTGAAAGAGGCGAATTTTCATTTAAATCAAGTGAAAAAAATACAATATTGCTGTCGTCTTACCATAAATCATCTGGAAAATTATACTTGTGTAGTCCTAAATCACTCGAAATGAATGCTGTGACTCGAAACGCTTAGTTTAGGTTTAAGTAGGTTCTTTATTGAAACTGTTTAGGGAGTTTAGGGTCACATCACTGCTAGAAATAAACAAAACCCTGGTCGAAGCGCTGTTATCCATCATTTCTCTTGATCCAGGTGTGGGAACTTTCATGGCTGGATATAGCCAAGTGATGAAGTTATAGAATAGAACATAAAGTAGATTCTATTATCTATGCTTGCATCGTCATGATAGAATCCAAAGTGAAAGGGGTTCTATTCATGGTAAAGCAAACAGGCACCAGATCTGCTAATCTTGTGGATGAAATGTTATCAAAAATTTGCAAAACGGTTACGCAAAAATCACAACACAGCTTTGCTCCATGAGTTTAAAACACAAGACATGGTCAAAAATGATTATAGTTAGAAATGCCGAATGTTGATCTGGTCACGTTACTGTTTTCCGGATATGGGGCCCCTCATTCTAATACACTTTTAAAGTACATAACGGAAACACAATAACCGACATTTGACTTACACCCGAGACACCTTATTATAGACTGTCTGGAATTATAGGTTCAACGTAAGGGGTTAGTAGTAATTTTTTAAAAAAATCACGCTCAAAATACGATGCGGATCTTTTGTACCATAAAGTTTTATCATAAATTCGTTTATTGTTGTTAATACCATCGATTAAAGATCGTTTTTATTGTCTTTTAAATAAATAATCCAACAAATTTTCTAACAATTCCTTTCTCCTGGAGATCTATAAATATTAATATAAGCGTTAGTTATCAGCATCATGTTTGTAAAAATAGTATGCCTATAAATAATGTTCATTCACCTATATGGAACACCCAATGCATCAAATATTTCAATTTCGGTTTTTTGAGCAATTAAAGTACCCTCTGAATATTTTATTCCTCCATTACCACGAATTATATTTCCATATAATCCATGATGATTTAATCTCATTTTCTACACAAATTATAAATAACGAAATTAATGAAATTATCGAGAAATTTTGTAAAACTATTATAATCAATATAATTTACTTTTTTCCTGGCCAATAATCTCATACTTCTATTAAACAAATCATTTCCCGTGTAAGATAATAAAGCTGCCCCGATTTCATTGTAAGGAACTGTGAATAAATCTAATCTGCGATTTTTTCCACCAGGTAATTTACAAATACCACGATACCTTTCTGAAAGCGATTCTTTACCATGATGTTGTGCTAGGTCATGCACGATGATAGACTCTCTACGCAAAATAGGGAGTAACTTTGATAAAATACCTTTTTTTAAATATATTAGATAAATTAGAAAAAAAAACTACAACTACAATTCAAAAATTCAAAAATCAACACACCTAAATGATTTTTTCCTTTAGAATCATTTTTAGTTATCATGATATCAATATCACCACAACTACTACTTCCTCTTCTATACGATCCTACGGTTATACATTCTAAATTTTTATCTACAGTGTGAGCTAATCTTTCTATACACATAGATATTTCTGTGACTTCATTTCTTGGAATTCTTTCTTGTAAATCCTACGTATTAATAATGTTTTTAAAAAATAAATAAAATATCGTCGGATTTTTAAAAAAAGAATTTTTTTTGAAGAAATTATCGTAATATTTACATCATAATAAATAATACCGGCTCGTTGGGCAGATGTTAATTTCGCATTTTGTAATAGATCCTCAAAAGTTCTATATCCTTTGGCGTGCCATTTCATAGCCAAGGTATTGCCAACTCCTAATATATATTAGAAATACATGTGTACACATATGTATTTGTATTTGTATATGTATTTTTGTATATTATATTATAAATATGAGAAAATTTTTTTATTCATACCATATATATTACTAAATTTTTTGATAAGTTCATCATCTTCACCTAAATTTTCAATTCTTTGCAAACGACCAGTTTCGATGATTTCCATAATCTATAATTGATTGATTGACGATTAATTTTTAATTCTCTCTCTTAGCTAATAAATAATTTACTTTTTTACCTTTTGAGCTGTACGCTCTCCAATACCAAATATATTTCTTGCTTCTTCATATGATGTGATCGGTTTATTATATTTTTTTAAAGCTGAAATTGCTTTTCTATAACTTAACATTCTCCAATGATCTTTCATTCTTTCATAATGTTCATATAAAATTTGAAGCTATAATTATAAAACATTTTTTTTTGTTAATTTTATTGTTAAAATAAAAAATTCAATTAATTAATAATACCTTTTGTATAATATCTTTATTTGGATTTGAATTTATTTCTCCAGCAACATTCTTCTGCATGCAAATAAATGAACCAAAATACTATAAAAAGAAACAGTCAATCAATCAATCATCTATTAATATTAAATCAAAATTAATGCTATATCAATAAATTATTATTATAAACCTTTGATTTAGTAGTAGAAGACGAATTTTTATCATCATCCATTACAACATCATTAGAATTTTGTTGCTTGTTATTTTCTTGCTCAAAATCATCATCATCATATTGAATATTATTGATGGTAGTTTCTTCGTCATAGTTATCAACATCGACATCATTTTCGTTATCGTTATAATTACCATCATCTTTTTCATCATCAGTATATAAACCCTTCATGAGAATAATAAGTCATATAAACAACCAATTAATTAACATTTATTTCTAAATTATCAAAGCTAAATAATAATAAATTTCACAATACACGTATAATTCATATTTATTTAAATATAGGTTTACATTTTCTTGAAGTTTTTTTGCTTCAAAAATCATTTCAGTTAATGGATCTTGAAAAATATTACATTCAATAGGTAATGATGATGAAGTCATTGTTGCTGTTGCTGCTGTTACACTAGAAATAAAATTTTCATCATTTTCATCATTATCATTATTTGTTATCATTGTTGGTGGTAAGGGTGAAAGTGAAAGTGAAGATGAAGAATTCGAATTTGGTGACAATGAGATACGTCTTCTCTTTATCTTTTGATTGTCATCATTGTCCTTGCCACTGCTACTGTTATTTTTGATAAATACATATATATAGCATATATAAATATTAATGGTTTATCTTTTTTTTTGATTAAATAAAAATAAAAGATTACATTAAAGATTCTTGTTGTTTTCCTGGTTCTTCATGATTTCTTTTCATATGAGCTTGTGTTGATGTCAGTATTGGTTTTGAGTTTTTATCACGATTATTGTTATTATTAACTTGATCCATATAATTGACAAGAAAAGGTTCAACATCAAGGACTTTTCCAAACTATTAATTTTTTTAAAGATTTAGGAGGAGGAAAAGTTGTTTGGATTGAATTGATTCAAGAGTTGATAATAATAATAATAATAATAATAATAATACTATTTACCATAATTGATTGTGAGATCCAATCTGGTTCAACTATAATTGCATTCTACAATGTATATTAATCAACTAATTAGTTAATTTTTATCTGTCATCGATCAATCAATCAATCAATCATTTTACCTGAATCATTTTTAATTTGTTTTTATCTTTAATTTCTTCAGATATATCACTTAAAGCAGTGACAACATGAGTAATATCATCATCACCATCATCAAAATCAATTACTGACCCACCTTTAGCCATAACCTTTGATTTCATTAAACCTAATCGAACTTTATCAATTTTTTTTGGAATAAATAAAACTTTTAAATCTGAAAATATTCCATTTTTATCAATTAATGGTGTCGCGTTCGTTCTCGTCATACCAGAAAGAGAATTATTGGTTTTTTTATTATTAGTTCTTGTTGTGCCCTTTTTTGTCGCTGTGGTTTTGGTAATTTTGTTTGATTTAGAATCGGTAGAATTAACGTTGGCAACGGTGTTGGTGATTGGTTTTATGTTAGTATTATTGGAATTGATGGGTTTAATAATAGGTTTAGTAATTTTGGACGATGAACGTGAAGAAGGCATAACAATCTTAAAGACAGCCTTTTGTTTTTTATCTTTTTTTGTTGATTTGAATGAAGTTGCAAGAAGTGATGATGTCGAATTTTGAGGTGATGGAATTTTTGTTGTTATTGAGGAGGGGGAGGACGATGATAAATTTTTTGATGATGATGAATTGTTGTCGAGAGATTGGATGTTTTTATCCGGTAAATCAATAATTAAGTTGTCATTATTGTTGCTATTATTATTACTACTATTATTATTATTATTTGAATTAATAATTTGTGAAAATAAATCTTCAAAATCATCATTTTGTTCATTAATATGGTAATTACTATTGTCTTGATTCCTATTATCGTCATTATTTGGATTAGGGGTTGGATTAATAATGGGTGATAAATTATCATTATTACGATCTTCTTTATTATGACGATAGTTATTATCATTATTCCCATTATTTTTCGCTTTAATATTATTTACATTTTTTGAATAATTATTATTTTCACTGGAACCTTGTGTTGATTTTAGTGATGATAATAATTCCAATTGACCAATTTGATTAATAAAAGATGATTGTGATAAAGGATTTAACGAAGAATCAATAATCCCTTCACCACTACTCATGCTAATACTATTATTAATACCATTATCGTTATTATTATCATCACAGTCATCGTCGTCGTCATCATCATCATCAAAATTCAACGCGTGCTTTTTATTTAAAGAATCCTCCATTTTTTTTATATCATTAATAACTCAATAAATCAATATTCTCTCCTCTCTTTACGATATTATTATTATCGATATTATATTGTTTGTTTATTATTATCCTTTCTAATAATAAATTTTTGTTGGGAATTTATAATGAAATGAATGAATAAGTGAAAAAATAAAAATTTTTTCTTTTGATTATTTGTTCAACAAAATTTATTTTTTGTAACAAAAAAGAAAGGTTTTATAAACAAATAAAAAAATAAAAAATGCGATCAAATTTGTATGGGTAGATCGGCGTTCGAAAATTGAATACTAAACCAAAATTGAATAATTATTTTTATTCGCTACATAATAATAAATTTTTTTTTATATTCTCAAAGATTAATATGAGAGGGTAAAAAAATAGCTATAAAGAAAAGAAAGAAAAATCATAATTTACAAGAAGTGAATATCATCTTATCTTTCATTATCATTGAACTTTATATATATATCATAAAGCTATAACTATAGATAGACCAATCAATCAAAAGGATTTACAGAAGAGTAATAGGATGTGATGATGGTATTAATATTTAAGAGAGAAATTAAAAAAAAGTAGGATAATAAAGAACTTTATTTTCTACAAAACACATTATATATTTCCTTCATTATGGTATCAGTACATCGTATAACTGATTGTTTTAAATTTTTGATAATCAGTTCTTCAGGTTTAAAAAATGTCATCATTATCACCATTAGAATAGCATAAAGAACAATAAATATACCGATGTGCACTATCAATCGTCGCCAAGAATATAATACATATACTTCTATAAGGGTTGAGTGCTTTTGATATCTAAACTCATACATCCTTTTGGAGATTTTATTGCTTTAAAATTTTTTATCATACAATCCAGGAACATCTAAATACATTATATGAACGTCCAAAAGTGTTTATGAATATATGATTTCATATTGTTCTAATATGGCATAAAAATGTGCAAAGTTGTCGACATTTAATTAACTTCAAAATTTTAAGTCTTTTGTATACACTGTTGTCGAACTTGTAACAAGTTGTTGTCACTACTTGATAAAACATTGTCGCACCTTCTAAAATACGTATTTAAAGAAATTTTTATGATAATGTTTCTTTACTGTCGCCATTCTTTTAATAACATCCTTAAATGTTTGAATCGTTATACCTTGTTTTTTTTTTTGTTTTTTTTTTTTGCTCCCTAATACTAATAGTCTGTATTTCTTGAAACCTTCTGGTGGCGGAGGCCTCGAACTACGTTTGGATGTCTTTATGTGAATTAAAGCCCAAAATCATTGATAATAACTAGGAAATTATCGCATTATTTGTAATAAGTCAATCTTAAAGAAGGATAATACTTGAGCTATATGTTATATTCTCATGTAATACTTGCTTTAATTAATTTCAACTTTAAGTCTTCGCCGAGCTTGGAAAGAATAAATAACAGCAGTATAGATGAACAACAATAATAAGGCTTGCCTTTTTCTACTTTTGACGTATCGAATTTTTGCTATGTTTGACAGTCTCAATGAATGAGTATGTGTCAATTACAAGGAGTTCGTATTAGCATATAAAAAATTCTATAACATATACATACACGACGAACTTTGGAGGGTTTTTATACGTAAAAATTTGTCTTTAAAAAGAAAACCTTTAAATTTATGCGATAAGAAAAAGTTTAAATTAACGTATTATTTTTTTTTGAATTATATTTCCTCGCATTTAATTTTTTTTTATTTTATTTACATAAAATAATATTTATTAATCAACCCACATTATTATTATCGTCATCATTATTATATAGATATATATTTGTATGTGTGTGAATATATATATATATATAAATATATATATATATATATATTTACATGTATTTAATAATAAAAGTAAAGAAGTGAATTGGAGAAAATAAAAACATAATAATTGAAAAGATATTTATATATGTAAAGAAATAAGAGAAAGAAGATAAATATATAAAAGAAAAATTTGAAGTGAAAAAGATTTATAATGGTAAGAGAAATCACTAAATTATTATTATTTACTATTTGATATTATCTTACGATTGATTATTATTATTATGATCACGAATTAAAAAAAAAAAAACTTTTAATCATATTATATTCGACGTTGAATTTTCCCGATATCACGTGACTTTCAACCTGCTTGATTATTCTGTTGTTGGAGGAAATGAGGATGAGGGGACGAAGGGATGAAAAAAGAGAAAGAAAAAGAAAAGGATGAGAAAAATGGGAATTGAGGATGAGAAATTATAATGACAGCGATAATATTTATAGTAACCTTTGGATTTTCAGCACTATTTTTCCATCGTTCAGCAACAAGTTTGAAAGCGGCTTTATGTTCAAGGTTAGGATTTTCAGCTTTAACCTTTGGAAGTTCAGATTTCATAAAAGTGTTATATGGGGATAATTTTCTTTTGCCACCACCTATAATATTATAATTATTAATAATAGATATATGTAAAAAATTATCAATTAATAAATGTGTAAAAAATTATTATTTAATAAATAATAATAATATAAACGTACAAATATATAAGGAATAAAGAAAAAGAAAAAGTGTCAAGTATAGGTAGAAACAAAAATTATTATTATTATTCTGTATATAAATTTAATTTTTATATAATAAATTAATATGAACAGTTGTTCTATATACAAAATTAAAAAATGGAAAAAAGAAGTTCGAAATAAGCGCGAAATAACGTGTATGTTTAGTTTCTCTTTGTTAATAATATATTTTCTTATAAAACATTTTTGAAGAGACACGGTTTTAAATTATAAGTGTTTAAATTCTCACATATACATATGTACATTAATTATATAGTGTTTAAAAAATGAAAAAATTTACTTACCGGTGGCTGGTTTTTTTACAGTTTTGGCTTTAGGCATGTTTATATTTCGAGTTAATGAAGAAAAGTTGATGATAAATAGAAAAAAGTAGATAATAGTGGAGTTTTCGTTGTAAAAGTTAAAGAAAAAAGATAAGTATTTTTTTCCTAATAGTAAATAATTATTAATTATTAATTTAATTAATAATAATAAAGAAATAATAATAATATTAGGGGTTTATGATATATATCTATCTTATATATCTATATTATATATAACACATATATGATAAATATGACAGATAATTATAGGGTACATACACTACTATTTGTTACTTTGTGTGTGTGTTAAAATTATTGGGATTAATTATTGGATTAGATTAAAAATATTTTTATATTATCTTATTAATATATATATTAGATAAGAAAATTCATCTTTAAAATTTCTGATTTAAGATTTATTTAATCTTGCAATAAAATACATATATATATAATAATATATATATATATATATATAATTAGTTAATGATATATATCATCAGCCTAACAAATAATAATCACACACTCCAATGCAGATTAGGTATTCACTCACACCATAAACCATTACAAAAATAAAAAAATTTTCGTCACAACAAACAATTCATCAAAACAATTCTCTCATAAAACACCAACGAAAATTCATAATTAGCAAAAAAAAATTAGTTCCCAAAAAAAAATATTTTCCTTGTGATATAACTAAATATTGTTATTTTTCTTTGGTATTATTATTATTGTACACAAATAGTAAAGAAAATCCAAGTTATCATTCAAGTTTTTTTCTTCCATTGGGCATAAAGGAATATTTGAGGAGGAAGAGTAATAAAAAAAGGGTTCAAATTTAAAATTTTAAAATTTTGACCAAAATTTAAAAATTACACATTTCTGTATAACAAATAAAACCATAGATCATTAGATCATTTTCCCTAAATAGATATATATTTATATATTAATATATTAAAAAGCAAGACGTTATTCACGGACAAACTTCGTCTCGTTATGGAATTATTAGTCGCATTATAAAGAAATTTATATGCGGATGACAAAATTCTTTATAGCACACATTTAATTAAGTTATAGCGAGGTTTGACTGTTAATTACAATGAATGGTACTCGACCATATATATACACCATATTTGAGTTATTTGTCGAAGAAGTTATTGTATTGTTTGTTTTTAGTTATCTGAATTCATCAATTCATCAATCGGCCATTACCACCACTAGTACATCTTTAATTTTTGCGAGAGTGGGGAATTATTTGTCAAATATTTCCATGAACACTCGGAAGGAGTTTTGGACGTGTGTTAAGTACTTTTCCCAGAGCTAATTAAAAGAAGGTCGGAGATCAACTGTTGACACAAACCGATTGGTTAATTCAACAAATATGTAATGGTGACGTACATAGAAGGAAAAATGAACAACCTTGCTAATTTTCAAAAATGGTCTTGGAAATATTAGTAATAGTAACTGCCGTTTGTGTAGCATATTACAAAAAATTTTTAACCCCTGAAAAATTTTATGTTCCACCTTTGTCTGCATATTTAAATAATAGTAAATAATAATAATATTATTAATTAATATTAATTAATATCATCCAAACTGTTACATGGCGGTGATTATGGCCATATCAAGAAACCCTAATCATATTACCTACCACATATTGTTTCAAAGGTTTGAATTTATGAATTCGTAAAGAGAGGGGAGAGTCTGGATGATAATATACATATCTTCTATATCTTCTATCAAATTATTAATTATATTTGAACTATTAATTGGACAATTGTTTATCTTTGTTCAATTAACGAACATATAGGGTCTATATACTTAACACACGTGTGTATATATAATAATAGTAATAACAATATAATATGGTAATTTATCAGCTTTTTTTTTTGCAAGAGATGATAGACAATGGTTGATCAAATAAATTTGTTCTAGTCCAAAAGTACTTGTGTTATCGTTGTGAAAAAAGCCCGGATTTAATATATATAAATTTATACTAAATAAATCATGAGAATATGATCTACATACCACTTAAATGGGGAAAAAATTTTAGAGAAATAAATTCATTTAAAAAATAAAAATAAAATGACAACGACAAACGAAAAATTTCGTAAAAACCTTTATGATGAAATTATTATAAAACAAATAAGTCGAAATAATGATCCCACGACGGCATATCAATGTACTTCAATATTATATAAAATTGTTAATAATATTATTTTATCACCAAGAGATGAAGTTAAACGTAAATTAAAAGAAGAAAATAAAATATTCAAAGCAAATGTTAAAGATATTAGTGGAGGTTTGGAGTTTTTAATCGAACTAGGATTTGTTTCAAAAGTGGTTGATTTTAAAAAATATTATATATTATATATTCCGAATGATCAAGTAAAATTAAATAATCAATTGGAAAAATTAGAAATTGCCGTCGATTTACTAAAAAACTTTATGGAAAAAATCAAAGAAACAAGTGAAGCTAAAGAGAAAATGAAAGCAAAGGAAAAGATGGCGGAAGAATCAAGAAAAAAGATAGCATTACAAGCGATTGAAGAGGATAGAGAAAAAAGAATCAAAGAGAGAGAGAGACAGCAATTTAGACAAAGAGAAAAGGAAAGGCAATTGGAAGAACAAAAAGAATCGATGGAAAAAGAAAAATTGAAAGAAAATGAATTGTTACCATTGGAAGAAGAAGATGTAAAAATTAGAGAATTTTGAAACTTCAAAATTTTCTATAAATTTTCATAATAAAATTAATAAATGTAGTAACGATGTGTCGTACAAAATGTCCATTATATTCCGATTCTTTGCGGGAAAGCCACAAATTTAAAAACTTTCCCTAAATTCTATTTAAACAAGTTTTTTTTGATTTGAAAAAAAAAGTAAATTTATAAGGATTAAGATATTGTAGTGGCTTAACATTATTATCATACAAATTATACAAGGGAAACAACGAAAAAATTGAACAAGAACATATTCCCTATTTAAAAAATTTTTTTTTTTATTTGGGCACAAGGAAAAAAAAATTAACACATCTCTTGTGAATTGTCATTGTATAGATCTTATTTTTTTATTTTTTTTATGTATAATATATACAAAAAGTATTTATTATATTTATAGTGATTATTGTTTTTTTTCAAGTTACTAATTAATAATTTGAATCAAATCTATTTTACTCTCACTTGATCTACAATAGTTTATCATGGAACGAGATACTAATGCACTTTATCAAACGTTAGGCGTAAGAAAAACTGCTACTGAAGAAGAGATCAAAAAAGCATATCGCAAACTAGCATTAAGATATCATCCAGATAAAAATCCAAATGCTCCTGAACATGTACAGTGAAAATTTTTTTTTTAAAAAAATATATATTAAATTAATTAATAATTAATTAACTTGTCATAACATCTATATATATAAATAATATTTTATTAGTTTAAATCTATTAGTCATGCATATGAGATACTTAGTGATCCTAAGAAACGTTCTGTATATGATAAATATGGTGAAATGGGTGTAAATATGTTAGATTCTTTACCAGATTTCCTTCTAGATCCGGATCTTGATGGACCGTTGTGTATGCTTTTCACCTTACTTTCCTTTTCAATCATTCTCTTGATCCTATTCTTCACTTTTCTTTCAATACGAGTTGACGGAAAAGTTCAATGGAGTTTCTCAATTGTTTTTATACCGATATGGTTCTTTGATTTTGTTGCGTTATTGATAACATTGATTAGGCTAAAAAAGGATCCAACTGAAGAGGAGAATGGGACTGATGACGAGTTTGAAGGATTGTATCACGAGGATCCCGAGATTAGGGAGCAAGCTAGAGAAGCTAAAAGAAAACAACAAAAGAAACTGACTCATTTAAGGAATATATTATCCGTAGTATATCTATTGTTGAATTTTGCTTTTCAAATATTGATTGTTCTTAAGGCTGATGGCACGTTTGTACAAAGTACTGCAATAGTTTTTATCCCTTATTTCATTATAGAATTGATAAATTTATATCCAAACGCGATAGAATTCATTGCAATTTTAAAAATTTATGATTCAATGGACGAGGCAAAACCTTCAATTTTAACAAAACTTGGGATATTATGGGATACTTTCTGGTGGTTTATACTTAGAATTGCATTAGCGGTCTTGATTGTGCTTAGAATCGATGGAACTATCACTTGCAGCTGGGGGGTTGTTTTTATACCTTTGTATCTGGTTGGTCTTCGATATGCTATTTGGATATTTTGGCAATGGTCGGCCATAAGAAAAAATGAGAATGCTGATCAAAAAAGGGTAGACGTGATCATATCTGCAGTACTCTTTTCTGTAAACGCAATTATTATTTATCTTATTATAGGATTATTGGCAAGTAGATTGGATGGAAATACAAACATACTCCTGTCTTCGGTTTTCATTCCAATTTTCATAGTATTGTCTATACTTTTCTGTTGTACCGGATGTTGTTTACCTTGTGCTTTAATGAGTTGGAATGTAGGTGATGATTTGGAAGGCTTATCAGACAATTCAATAATATCACCAGACAAAAGAATTACTTATCCGTCCACATCCACATCTGCTGCAGCAAGTACTACATAATATAGCAATAATAACAATAATAATAATAATAATAAAAATAGAATTATTGTGTTAATATCATTAAAAAGTTATAGAAATTTTAATTGTGGAATATTAATGTGCTAGCATTACAGTTATTACTATTAGAAATGGATCTTTTTAAAACATATCATATGGATTTAACAGCTTTATGTATGTTTGTAATTAGATTTCCTTTTTTTAGTTTTACATTTTTTTATCTCTTCAAAAAAAAAAATAATATATATACTTTATTCTTTACTAATCCAAATCAAATTACTATCCCTGTTATTTTGTTGTTAAATGTTCTTTAATATTATTATTAATGTACAATATAATTTTATTTTTTTGGGAAAAAAAATTATTAAAATTATTTGTAAGTATTATTGTAAAGTATTATTAATAAAACAATACTGATTTTAATTGATTGATTAATATTAATATATTAATTGTAATAAATTTTCTCATTAATAATATACATTGGTATTAGGAATGATTTCACAAGCATCTTTAATCATTTATCATTCACATGCGTGCACCAAAAAAATATAAAAGATCTACAAGATATATAGAACATTGAAAATTTAAGATATGAAGCAAAGAGCAGCATACTTTAAATATCTGAAATAAAGACTTTGAAAATACCAATCGACCAAAATTAATTAATAAATCATACCACCATTATGCATAACTAACTTACCGTGTGGACTAACTTTATTTAGAAGCTTGTTAATCGCCCATTTGAACAACTGTCTAATTAAAAACTTACCTTTTGAAAACATCTTGGCGTGACATATGACGGAATCAATGTCGTTGAATTGACTTCGACATGATTTTATATATGAAAAAATCATCAAAGAAATATCTATCTAATATTCAATGAACATTCTTGCTTTATGTGTTAATAAATCCTCATCAAGTAGGTCATGATATTGGGCGCATGATGTATCCATTGATGTGCTCATGGCACCACCAGAGCACCCAGTCTTCATCACATAAGTTTTCTTTGCACTTGAAATTTTTCCATGTAGTTGTTGTTCCACGCTCTACTAAGTTAGAAAGTAGTAAACTGTACCAGTTAATATGGCCGAAATATCATTCTATAAAGTTAAATTTTTGCCAAATTTTTTTAAAAGATGAAGCGGTGGTGATATTGAGGAATTTTGAAAAAATTTATCAGAAATTTTGTTTTTCGAGCTAAATTTCTTTTTTCATTGTCCCCGAGTATGTATTGATAAATTGCATCACCCAAGTAGAAACGAAACTTTTAAGGAACCAATTTTGGGAAAGTCACACAATGTCTTCCTCGCAAGCAGAATTGGAGATAAACCCATGCATGGTGTTTAGGACAATTTTACAAATAAAGAAATTTTCTGAGTAGGCTTGCCATCATCCAAGTGACGGTGAAAAAATTTTAGTGGTCAAGTCTCCATTCTTTGTGAAATGAATAATATTGATCACGAGTGCCAGATTTAATAAATCCTCCATCACAAACATGCAATAGCAACCCTCATAACCATAGGATCTTTTCCGTGGGTGAGGAGGAGATAAACAAGAGGCTTTAACCACAAGTAGAAATTTCCAGTTTTGCATCATATAATTAACGTTTCTCTAATTGGTCAAATAAACCATGTTTTACCAAAATATCTCTTTAACATGATTCTAAATTTCTACTTGTGAACAGTCTCCTTGCAATTCCATAAACTCCAGAGCCCCCTGAAATTTATTGCATTGTTGTATCACCTTATGTAAACTATATAAATTTTCATCCAATAAAATACAAGCGTTGCATATCAAATTGTTTAGTGTTTCCTCATGTCATTTCTTGTTTAATATTATATATTAATAACGATTACGCAAAATGAATATACCAATCATTTGTTTATCGTAATAAAGAATCTTATCGTTTATTATTATATAAAACACACAAGTTTTGTTCCACGTTTTGATATTTATGCTATTGTATTAAAAAAAAGAGAAGGTGTCAGTCAGAATGAAAAAATCAAATATGAATGTTTTTTTTTTAACGCACATTGTTGTACAAAGAGAAAATAATAATAGGGGTAACGCGTCAATATTTACTATTTAATTTTTTTTCTTGAAAAAAGAATGTCGTTTTCTCAAAGACAAAGAACAACAAGCGATCACACACGAAGCAATTCGTGACAAGTGAGAGAGGGAAAATGATGGTGATGATTATTGATCTGAAACTCATCATTCTAAGTTTACCACATGGCGAATTTTGATCCATTTGTATTTCTAGAATCAACATCCATTGCTACTCCTACTACTACTGCTTCAAAGTCTACTTCAACTTGATATTAATCTCGTAAATTAAAATTAATCTGTTGACTTTTTGAATTACATTTACCGTGTTTAAAAGATAAATTTAACTTTATTTCTTTTTAATGCATCATACTCATTTATCAAATTACTTAAAACAAAATAAAAACTTAAGATTGATACAAGCTTATTTTTTTATGTGTAATTATTTTTTAAGAAATAAATTTTATTTTAGGAAAAATATCGATTCATGGCCTTGGAGGTTGACAATTCTTTGTCAATCCAGGAAAGGATAAAAGAAGTGATAATTCCTTGCACTAATGTTGAATTCGAACATGATGTTTGTCCATTATAAATTTTCAGATCCAAACTTAATTTTATCAATCTTTCTCCAAAAAAGAACGTCATTAATTATCTAATACAACAGAGTGTATTTTTAATAAAAAGAACTATCCCTCGACCATAAAAATCAGATATGAAAGAAATAAAGAAGCACTTTATGTATATCATTACTTTTCAGTTTAAACATGTCATTTTTTGTTTTATTTGAGTTCACATTTAAGAGAAGAAAAAAAAAAGAATAAGAAGAAGGGGACTTGGATGGCACGAGAAATAATTTTAAGGCTTATAATGTAAAGAAAAATTTTTTTTTGTTATTTCGTCATCATTTTGCTTATTTAAAAAAACTATTTAAGCCAGAGAAAGGTTTGATCAGCTCGAAAAAAAAGAAGAAAAGAAGGCGATAATACTGACAAGGAAAATAAAGAAGAAAAAAAGGATCGCATTTTTTAAAAAAAAATAAAAGAAAAGAAAAAAAACCGAGGAGGAAGGCATGATATCATGCTGGTTTCAAGAGCAAAATACAGATATAAAGGAAATATTTAAATTTGGATTATCCCCTGCGGTTATAGGTTTTGCATCACAATTAATGATATGACTTGGGTAAAAATTTTATCAAATAATTTTCTAGACAAATAATCGTGCTAGTTAGGTAGTAAATTGTTTTTCTTCCGATTTTCTTTTCTTTTGAAAGGCTTTACGTTAATGTTCTTTTATCAGTTATGATTTTTTTCTTAGCAAAATATAAATTTGTACAATAAAAAAAGAAAACGTTGGTTGTACAAGTAATCCATCAATTAATAAATGTCAATTTTGAGTTTACCACCTGAAATTTTAACCGACATATTCAGATTCATTAAAGATGATTATAGAACATTATACTCTTGCGTTTTAGTTAATAAACAATGGCATAATTATAATATACCAGAATTATGGAGAAACCCATTTTATTCTTTTAACAGCACCAAGATATTCATCAATTGTTTATTGGTAGAAGATAAAGATTTCTTAGTGAAGAATGGCATTAAATTAAATTTTGAATTATTAGACAAACAACCATTATATAACTATGCCAAATTTGTTACTAAATTAGAATTCATCAAACTTAATGAAAATTTATATAGGCTGGTAGATTCCTCATATATTCTTGTTAAATTTAAATCTTTAGTAGAAAGATTAACAAACTTTATTCTAGATTATTCAACAACTATTAGAACACTTACAACTGCTAACTTGGAATATAAATGGTTGATAAACCATCATAGATTTGATACATGTTTTAAGAATCTTTATAGATTAGAATGTGATATTAATAATAGTTCTAAATTTTTTTTTAAATTAGGATATATTTGTGAAAGGATTCAATCATTGAAATTAGTTTATTATAGAAAATACTTGCATAATTTTGATTTAAACAATTATAGTCTAGCTTATTTAATTAAAGCACAAAATCAACTTAAACATTTAAATATTTGCTCGCCTGATGACCAAGCTTTGTCTGATGAAATAAAGACAGCAATATCAACACATTCACAATCGATAATTAGCTATGCCAATGTCGGAGAAAATACATTAGATTCTGTAACAATATCATCATTTCAAAATTTAAAATCTTTATCATTAACAAGTGTGAACAAAGATATAAAAAAATTCAAATCTATTTTTTTCCCAAAGATCGAATCTTTATATTTATCAAGTTACTGCCAACCATATCTATTAGATTTATCAGATTTTGTCAAAGCTAACGGAAAATTTTTTAAAACATTGACAGTTGGTGGTTTACCAACAGACGAAGAATATTTGGGAGTATTGATCGAATCAATTGCTCAAAATTGTCAAAACAGTCTAGAAAATTTATCTATAATATATAACAATGAATTAGATTGTAAGATAATTAATATTTTTAATAATTGCATCAAGTTGAAATCTATAGAATTCAAAAAGGTTGATTTTGAGGTTGGAGGTATGTTTGATGGTGATAAAATAATGGCAGTTCTAAATCAATCATTGCCAAAAAATTTAAATACTATAATTTTTGGTTATTTAGTTACTATTTCAGATAATTCATTGGAAGTTTTGATGAACAATTGGAAAGGGCCTAAACCCTTTACATTAATAGTACCTGGTGACGTAGATTTTTATCTCCCAGAACTACAAGATATATTAATAAAATATCAAAATCTGGGCTTTTTAAATTATAAATTTTCAGATATAGTTAATAAGTAAAATAAATATGTTTATTATTTTTATTGACTAGGAGTAATTATATATATTTGTAAAATTATATTTAATTGTTTTAGTTCTTGTTTTTTTTTTTGTATGATTTGATCATTTTGATAATTACAATATTGTGAAAAAGATTACCTCTTGTATTGTATTTTTTTTTTTTTGCCATAGCAGTCAACATGATAATTGAAATTTTTTTGGAAATTTTAACTTAAAAGAGTTCCTAATTTCTTTACAAGTGATCTCCCATAAATCTAGACAGCGAACCTTGTCAATAGTGAAATGTAAACTACCTTTTCTCATTATTACAAGTTCTTTGCTATCTTCCATGAATCCCTCATAATAAGTCTGATTGATCACTATTATAAGTCATTTTTAAATTATACATCTGATCTTGGATTAGTGATGTAAACAGGCTGTTACACCAGGAACTTTGTAACAGTAACTTTTCTCTTATCAATGAAGATAATTATTGTTTAATAAAATATTTCTAATGAATGTCATACACTAAAAGTAGATGAAAATTTATCAATATATTTTTATTAAATATTAATTATTCATATAGAAATCAGCACAGATTACACAAGCATCCATTACCTTGTATTTTCCATGATAGGAATCGCTAATGTTGTATTGATTTTTCTGCCTAATGTTTGCATATTCTAATAACGATGGACCACTATATATATATTATAAATAAATGTTATGTATGAAAGTAGATATAAATTAATAAAAATCAACATCATCATAATCATAATCATAATCATATCATAATCATCGTTGATTGCATCCACTTGATTTAAAGTAAGGTGCAATTTTTGAAACACATTCATCATATCTATTTTATTATAATTTAAAAAAAATCATTATTTTATTTACCCTCGATTTTCTAATTATTACCTTTCTTTCGACCAATTAACAGTTGCTTCATCCATTTTACTAATAGCGATAATTAATCTATTTACACCTGATGTTGTAGCTAATACTATATGTTCATGCGTTAGATTCATCTTTATAACCAACCTATTTATATACAGACGTAATTATATTTTTTTAGATAATTATATAATTATAAAAATAAAATCTTTGATGAATTATTCTTACTATAATCATTATTACAAACCAATACTTCATTTAACACCTGCTTGAGATGCACCACCAATCATACTTGAGACAAAGTTTTTATGATCTGGCGTGTCAAGAATTGTACATCTGTTTTAAAATAGGCAAACCGTATTCAACTGTTGAATTTACCCTTGAGAATGAAAAATATTCCAATTTAAAAATTAAGCCAAACTAATACTTAGTTTCATAACAACAATGATGAAGAACATTTAAATAGCTTTGCACATTCTTCTTTGTTTGTATCAAGAGCCCATGACAATAAATACCAGGATTCTCTATTTTGTTCCTTTGCTTCCCTTTCATATTTCTCCATAGTTCTTTGATCAACCATTCCAGTTATATATCTAATTGTAATGTTATATTATGAGTTAATAAAACTAAATAAACTCTTATCATTTTTTTTTGAAATTACAAGATATTTCCTCCTATGGTTGATTTTCCGGCATTTAATTGATCAATAAATTAATTGTATTAAAAAAGAAATTAGGTTTGGTGAGACTTATCAACATGTCCAATGAAAATAATGTTGAGGTATTCTTTGCATATAGATCTTCAACAACTTCGTCATCAACTACTTGATTAATTATGGTGTTGTTAAATAAGTTAATTTATCAGTATCAAAATCTAGATTATTACCCATTTTTAAAAATTTTAAAAAAAACTTTTTATAATAAATATTTAGAAAAACTTTTTCAAATATATTATTTATTATTTTACTGATTTGTTACCAATAGATAGTTATATATATTACACAATTACAAAATTTGAGAAAGAAAACCAATTAAACCAATTACGAAAGTTTAGAAAAATAAGGTTCAATAAAAAACAAAAGCTATTTTTAATAAATAAATAGTAAAGACGAGAATAAATAATTGAACTTTAATCGCTAAATTGATTAAATTAAAACTAATTATAACTAAATTTTGTAAAGATATTATGATTAATAAAATCCATTGTTCTAGCTCGATTGATTTTTTGAATATGTTTGCTTCATATTTTGATATTAATTTAATTATATTTTTATTTCTTAATTTAGTTTTATTGTTAGTCTTGCTTCTGATAGTTTTCTCTATCAATATTTTCGGTCTAAAGAATCTTTCGGGATATAAATGATGGCTTTCACCTTTTAGCCACCACATATCTTTATTTAAAATTTCCAAAATTGGTTTTTTTTTTTTAATTACTAATAAATCTTTAGGAGAATTTGTTGATGTTGATAGAATGAAATTTGGTTTTGCTTTGCTAATTTTATTTCCTGAGGTTGCTTTCACGAAGAAATCGTTGTCATTATCGTTACTATCATCTTCAGTATTATTATTTATAAAATTTCTATTTTTTTGTTTTTTCAAAGAAATTGTCTTGATGATATTATTATTATTGATGGTTTCAATGTCCATATTTTTTTTCTTCCTTCATTCACAATTAATGGAAATAAAAAATTTTCTCATCCCATATTTTTAATTTTTATATTTAAAACACTTTTTAATTATTTATTCAAAAAAAGTAAAATCAAAAATTGGAAATATTATCATTGTTTAACAATACATACAAATAAACACAATATGAAACTTCAAAAAATAATACATGTCAAAGTTCGCGTTATAAACGTTTATTCCATGATTGTGTGATGTATTTATTGCTGGTCGTGATGTCTACTTCTATAGTAATAATGAATCAAGAAATCTTGTAAGGTTGGGTATTCGAATGTCCAACCGTGTGTGTATGTATTTTGAGAACGAGGGCGTGATTTTTTTAAAAAAAAAATTTATAAATTTCTATTACACAAAATTCAAAAAAATTTTTTTTACTAACCTCTTAAATTACATTGAACCTATAACTAAGTATAGACAACCTATTTCTCCAAACGCCACATGTTGTGTTTCCATGATGTACTTTAAAAGCTCCCGTTTACATCTCCATCAATGACAGATTTACACAATCCGTACATATAAATGCGGACAACCGCTTTGCACCCGAGGGAAGATGCTTGCGGGATTTATGGAGCAAATATTGGCGAAAACAAAAATTGCGATCAGGAACACCATCATTTTTGGCCAGGTCTTTTCTTTTACGCTTATTTATGATTAGAATCATTTCACTTTGGATTCTATCGTGATGCAAGCATAAGCAATATATTCTACTCGTGTCCCGCTTTCCATTATACGATCCCACCACTCAGTTAAGAGAAATGACGCCAGCAGGATCGCCGGAAAATTAGAACTTAGCTATCAACCTTAATCTCAAGTAGTTTGTTTAGGGATACATACCAAGATGATTCATGGTGAGATGATAACCATCTTGTATATTTTTTCACTTGATTTTAATATCATTGAGAAAACTTACTTCTTTATTTCCCAAATCTTTTGATCTAATGACGATCGGCTGTAGTTTAATTTAAAAATCTTCTTTGATACTAGCAGGGAGTATCAGGAACCCATTTAAGATCGATATAACTTTCACGTAAATTTGTTTATATATCAATAATAGCTGCTGCCAAACAGCACCGATCCATTTAGTATTTTTGTGTTTATCGTCCGAGTTATGAAAAAAGTTACATCTTCATTTTTAGAAAAGGAAAGAGAAATCGAAAGGCTACATCATCTTTAAAATTATTCCATATGCCATCTGGTAAATGGGAAATATGATTTAAACCATTGGTTGAACCAACTGTAACCCATGACCCAAATTGCTAGTCTTTTAAAGAGTCATCTCGTTTACTTGGGCACAATGATTTACTAGTCCATCTTGGGAGGTGAACTCGTCCCAGAATGGTTTAGATCTCTTGACATTTGGAGGAGAAGCTGGTTGTGATTATGAGCCACAGCCAACTGAGAAAGATTGCATTATAATATTTAAAATTCTTTATTTTTTGCAACAATAAGACATTTCCAATTTTATCTTCTTATCCTAGTGTGATATTTATCCGCCTGTGACATCTTTCGATATGTGCGATGGTCTTTTGCTGGATGGAAGGAACAACCGACTATTAATATACTGTTATTATAATAATAGAGTAATAATAATATAATCTTTTTAAAAAATTTTTGACGTTATTTTTTTAATTTGATATGGTAAAATACTTATTTTTTATTTAAATTAAAAAAGAAAATTGAAAATGATATTAATAAAAAATTACATCTGATACAGTAAATTAATTTTAAAATCATATATAAAAGCTATCAAGTTACTAAATATAGATATTTCTTTTTATTTGAATTTAGATGGCTAAATCATTCTTCTCGGACCTTCTCATTCAAAGTAGGCGTTTACTTTTCAATTACAATAATCTACCACACCATCTCTTTATATATATCTTTATTTACAGCTCGAGCTGTATGAAATCCAAAAATTATTCAACGAACCATTCCAATGTTTATATAATTCTAAGGTATCCAATTCAATGAATACTATTTGTTGGCTTATATAATAATTCTTCGATGAATTACTTATGGCCCAAAGACAAAAATATTATTGGGAGACATCCCATACCATGTAGTTTAACACACAGCTTGTCTTCCGGTAACAAGAGTGTGAGAGTCTCCACTCCATATATGTCACCTAGCCGACACGCAATGGGTTGCTCATAGACTTGTTTTTCATCCATCTTGAAAATAAAACTTTCGTTTGTTTCTACAAGGGAAATTACGTAAGCGTCAAGCAAGATTAAAGCTGACTTTTGTAGTATTAGTCTTCCAAATCTGGTTTTGATAAAATATGGATTCCACATGATTGATTGTTAACTAATATAAAAAAAAGAAATGTGATTGTATTTAGTTGGTTCGTATACAAACAATAGAAAAGTTACCAATGGCACGGTGGAGTTCTTTGAAGGATTACCTACCTAAAGAATCTTTTTTTTTTTTAAAAAAATTATAGCTATCCAATCAAATTAAAAATAGATCTTCATATATTCTTTTATAGCAATATATAAATAGTAATCAAATAATAAATGTCGAAAGTAACTAGTAATTCATTGGAACAAATTCTACTCGAAAAACTTTCAGCGGAACATGTTCAAGCTACTGATACCTCAGGTTAATTCAAATATAACATTTACAGTTGAAACTGTGCTTAGAATTTCATTAAGCTGTACATAATAATATTGTAATTTTTCTTTATTAAAAAAAAAGATGGGTGTGG